AGGAAAATCGAATGGCAGAGAAACACTTAAAGAAATGCTCATCTCATTAGCCATCAGGGAAATGCAAATCAAAACGACCCTGAGATATCACCTTACACCCATCAGAATGGCCAAGATGAAAAACTCAAGGGACAACACATGCTGGAGAGGTTGTGGAGAAAGGGGAACCCTCCTCCACTGCTGATGGGAATGTAAACTGGTACAACCACTCTGGAAATCTATCTGGCGCTTTCTAAGACAATTAGGAATAGTGCTTCCTCAAGACCCAGCTATACCACTGCTAGGTATATACCCAAAGTTTGCTCAAGTACACAAAAGGGATATTTGCTCAACCATGTTTATAGCAGCTTTATTTGTAATAGCCAGAACCTGGAAACAACCCAGATGTCCATCAACAGAGGAATGGGTACAGAAATTGTGGTATTTTTACACAATGGAATACTACTCAGCAATCAAAAAGGAGGAAATCATGAAATTTGCAGGCAAATGGTGGGATCTAGAAAAGATCATACTGAGTGAAATATCCCAGAAGGAGAAAGACAAACACGGTATATACTCACTGATATAGACCTATAAGATATGATAAACATAATGAAATCTATACACCTAAAAAAGATAATCAAGAGAGCGGACATGGGGTAAGATTATCAATCCTAGTTTTGAAAGACAGATGGGATGCGCACTGAACATATGACAGGAGTCTACTGAGCGCATCTGAAAGACTCTAACTAGCAGTGTTTTCAAAGCAGATACAAAGACTCATGACCAAACCTTTGGCAGAGTACAGGGAATCATATGAAAGAAGGGGAGTTAGTATGATGAGGAAAGGATAGGAGCTCCACAAGGACCAAATATATCTGGGCACAGGGTCTTTTCTGAGACTGACATGCAACCAAGGACCATGTATGAATGTAACCTAGAACCTCTGCTCAGATGTAGCCTGTGGTAGCTCAGTAACCAATTGGTTTACCATAGTGAGGGGAACAGGGACTATTTCTAACAGGAACTCAATGACTGGCTCTTTGGCCTCCCCACCCCCCAAGGGAGGAGCAGTCCTGTTAGGCCACAGAGGAGAGCTTTGCAGCCAGTCCTGAAGATACCTGATAAAAGAGGATCAGATGAATGGGGAGGAGGTCCCCCCTATCAGTGGACTTGGCAAGGGGCACGGTGGAGATGAGGGAGGGAGGGAAGGACTGGGAGGGAATGAGGGATCGGGACAAGGCTGGGATACAGAGTTAATAAAATGTAACTGATAAGAAAAAAACAAAATTAAAAAAAATTTTAAAAAAAGATTGGGAAAAAAAAAGAATATTGCCAATGAAATGACAATTAATTAAATGACAATTTCAACACAATTGAAAATTAGGCCAAGTATCTGAATAGACATTTTTTTAAACAAGGAAAATGTATGGAGAGCTAAGAAATACATGTGGTTAATATCATTAGTCATTATCAAAATCACAAGGAAGTAGTCATTCATATGCACCGAATTTGGACAATAATAGTAATAATAACAACAATAAACCCAAATATATGAAGCAGTGGGGAGGGTGTGGAGAAGTCAGAGATCTCATATGCTACTGTTGAGACTATGAAGTTGTACCCGCCTTGGAAAACAGCTGTGATTCTGTTGGAAAAAAGGCAAAAGAAACTCATTCTAAATACTACCATTTCATTTTCAGACTCTATTTAATCATCTGGAGAAACTAAGTTCAAGGTCCCAGGCCCTAGAGAATCGGGGGACTTCCCAATAGCTGAACAGATCCTGCTATGAGGAAACAGTTGTCTGAGTTCAGACATCTGAGGGACAACTTCTTCATCTTGTGGCAGGATCAAACAAGTTCATGTTCCCAGGCCCAGGGACCTACTGCTTTCCTGATTGATGAAAACTCCCTTGCTCAACCTCTTATTTCAAACTACGAATGGACAATGCTACAGCTCATGCTGCTCCCTATTGCTCTATGGTTTTATCCTTTAAATATGCTGTACAATGTCCTGTCAGGGTCACAGTTCAGCTCCCAGTCTGTTTAATCAGTAGCATCTTGATTACAATAAATTTTGTCTTCTGCACTGACCTGGTGTATGAGTTATGTTGGACTTAGGTTGGAATTAAGACCCTAGAACAATACTTCCTCCAAAAGTTAGATACAGAGTCACTGTATGATTCACACATCTACTTGTAGGTAAAGGCAATGCAGCTGAAGAAGCACATCCATACAAAAACTTGTATATATCTTCCTAGCAGTGTTAGTCATAATAGCTAAATACTGAATGTATTCCAAATGTCTGTGAACTTCCAAACAGATAAACAGAATATGGCATCTCTGTATTGTGGAGAATCCTGACTATACATACATACATATATATATATTTGTGGAATGGTCCATGGACCTCAGAGTTCTCAGATTACATTATAGATGAAATTTCATGTCTTTTACATTAATCTCCTTCTCTGGGATAGAGCCATCATCTCATTCCTTATGAATGAAATTCCTTATGAACTTGGAGTGTCTTTGTTCTTAGCGAGCGACACATTCACTAAAAATATTACCTATAAATTTTAATGCAAAATCCAAATAGTAAAAACACTGCTATAGTAATTAACCCCCTACCAGGAAATTGAACTTAGGGCCTCATGTATGCTAGGCAAGCACTCTACTACTGAGTAATATTTTTAGCCCTTGAAATTGCATTTAGTTTAAAAGTCAGTTATTGTGTAAGTATCCTTTCATTATTTTTCTTGATTTTACCCATAAGGAGTGCCAAAATCCTCAGGGCAAAACCTGTTAACAGCTGGATGAAGCCAGGGCTGAAGAGGCCATGAATACAATAACAAACGAACTCCTGCAGTGCAGATTGGCTTGGCTTAAAGGATGGAGTAGGTGGGTGGGAATGGCCATTCCACAGAGATAAAGGATTCATATATCAACAGGAATCATGGCAGTCTCTGAGAAAGTATGAGTAAGCACTCACTGTCACTGTCCACAGGGGACATGAGCCACTTTTATTTTGTCACATTTCTTTTGCTTCTCCAACTTCTTGAGGGCTGTACCATGTAGGGGACTTAAGGAGATAGGTAACAATTGGTAAGTATTGGAGAAGGCCATGTGAGAAGGGGATCTTGTCTCAGAGCTGCTTCTAATAGCTAGAGATTCCTCCACCTCCTTTCCTGATATCACTGATAGGTCCAGCTTCCTATAGACACATCTGAACACTAGGGCTTTTGGGCCACAAGAGCCAGGTCATGGAAGCAGCATCAAAGAACCCATCAAAGAACCAACTAATGAGGAAATGGTATATGTACACAACAAAGATTTATTCAGCTAAAAAGAGAAAGTTCTGTCATTTGCAGGAAAAATGGACGGAACAGAAGATCACGTTAAGAACAATAAGCCAGTCTCACAAAGGCAAATATGGCATAATTTTTCTTTTTGTTTAGAAAGTAGGAAGGATAGAAGCATGAAAATAAACAGAAAATAAACTTAGCTATATGGAAGGAGAAAGGTGATGGAGAAGGAAATAAAAGGGATAAAAATGATCAATATTATTTGCCTCTGTGTAGATGTAAGGGAACTTCTTGTGTAAAAAAGCACCAGTGGACATCTTAGGATATGTAGGCATCAGATTCTTAAAGTAAGTTTTGGTGCAAGGATATAGGTAATGTCCCTGAGGTACTTTGCTCTTTCACAGGAGATGGTCCTTCTCTTTGTTTTCTGAATGCTTAGCAGAGGATCTGGGGTATCACAGCAGCTCCCTGAAGATGTGAAGAACTGACTTTTGTCCCAGTCATAGCTCAAGTGACATTTCCCATAGTGGCTTTCATGGTTTTTGGTTGGGGATGGAAATTCCTTTAGATATCAGTTAACTGTAATCACGAAAAACACATTCAAAGAAAGAACGAATCCAGGGGGAAAGAAAATCACATTTACTGTTCTAATTATACCAAACCCACCACAACTGACAATATACGTTCATTGTGCTAAATTAAAAGTGCTCAATGCTTTTCAAAGGCCACAAGGAAATGCATCAGAGTTTACCTAAACCAATAATGGTAAATAAAGACACTCAAGCAAAATGTCTTAAGAGATTTGACTACAGATCTGTACACCATTTTAGATTACTGAGCTCTGGCCTTTGCCCTGGAGAAATCTTAAGCTGCAATTCCAGTTTTCACACTGAAAATCCCCAACTGAACTTAATTTTAGTGACTGGCTCTTCATGTAAATTATTGTGTGTGTGTTTTTTTTTTTTTTTAATAAAGCATTATTATCATTTTATCCAAGGTTTTCCATGAACCTCCTGTTGCAGTCAGAGCCCGCCCGCGCTGCCAAGGCTGCAGCACTCCTGTGGAATGTTACTTCTTCCCTATGTACTGAAAATTCAAACTGGCACCAGCACTTTGAAGTTCTCCCTGAGGCTCCAAGGGCTCCTGATGTACCTAGTGCCTGGCATGGGCACCTGCACATTGAAAGTATGTAGACTCTTTCACTGAAAATCTCTGAGCCCCTTTTGTCCAGAACCTTGGTATGAACCTCTAGAATTTTAAAACTGTTTCATGGCCGCATAGGCAAACTTACAGTGACAGTGTAAGAAACAGTTATTTTAATATATTCCTGAGCTTTATATTTTAATATTAATTAAAATAATATTTAAATTAAAATATCTCTTATTGAGAATATAAATGCCAGATTTTTTTTGGGGGGGGGCAGAATTTATCCACTTGCTGATTCTGATGTCACATACACCAAAATTATGCTTTGCTTGGTCATAGACAAATCCATCCCTCAATTTCCTACTTTACAAATATTTGCCCAAACTGTGATTTTTATTCTCTAAATTGATGGCTTGAGTATTACGTCTGCTATAATGCACAGACATGAATATCCATTTGATTTAAAAATTACTGTAATATTGAATGTTTAAATCCACATGAAAGCAACAATTAGCAGCAAAGCACAATTTTCTGAAGCAAGATATAATCTACAGCTAATCTTGTTTACCTTGCAAAACTCCACTGATGACCTGGGGATCGAGTTTCCAACTTCATTCTAAAGAGAAAAGAACTGTGCCATTCCTGTGCCACCCTCAGCACAAGTCCGTATTTTTTCGGGTTTTCTTTTCATATTCCTTTAAATCGAGCAAAACAAGACACAATACCTGGAAAATTTCTCTAACACACAGTATCTCCAACTTTGTCGTAAAATCCTTTGTGAGTTTACCGAGTCCGGGAGAGACTCCTTTTTTTTCCCCCCACTGTTCTCTTGATAATCTGAGTTGCCAATTTGGGTCCCTCTGTATCAGTTTGATGATTCTAGAGACCGATAACCACAGACAAACCTTAACAGAGCAGTTTCATCCCAAAGTAGGACAGCATTTTTCCGTAAAGCAACCGAGTACCTCACAAAACTGCAGGCCAGAGAATGAATGATAGAGCCTTCACCAATAGGGAGTGGAGAAGAGAATTTTGTTGAACTTTGTAACCCAATCCTTGGAAGCCAGAGGTGGGAATTTTAGATCGGGGGCAGTCTTTTGCTTGGAATTTTCTTAAAGTGGTATCGCTGTCTTGTTGAGGTTAAAAGGTGCCAAAGATTGTTAAAAAAAAAAAAAATCCATTTAGAGTTTCCCCTTCTGTTTTAAGTCCAATGAAAATATGTAAATCGACCCTCCACAAAAATGAGAGGACTTCTAACAGTGGTCATACTATCAATATAGGAATTTTAACATCAATTTGGAGAGGGAGTAAAAGCTATTTTAACATCATTCATTTTTCATGAACAAAATTTGCATGTTAATGTGCCAAAAATATTTCTGTCTTAAAAAAACAAAAATTAAAAAGCTCGCATTACTTCAAAATGTTTTTCTATTGTTAAGCTTTCTGTGGTTGTCGATACATTAATATTATATATACATATCTATTGAAATTATAATTACATTATTTTTCCTTTTCTTTCCTCCTGACCAAGCCTACTATGTACCTCTACCTTGCTCTCTTCCATATTCCCGGACTTTTTTTTTCTTTCATTATTGCTATATGAGTATATGTGTGTGTGTGTGTGTGTGTGTGTGTGTGTGTGTGTGTGTGTGTTTTTTCAGGGCTGACCATTTGGTATTAGATAACCAATTAGTGTGCTCTTCTTGCGGAATGCTCTTTCTCCTGATCTCAGCATTCTTTAGTTGCCTGTAGTGTTGTGTTATTATTTTTACTTAGTTTAACTGCTTTCTAAGTTATTATTTTCTAAGAGCAATTAAGCTATCATAAATGTAGTTCATTTAAAAGTTAAAGATGATTCAGGTGGTGGTGGCACACACCTTTAATCCTAGCGCTAGGGAGATAGAGGCAGGCAGATTTCTGAGTTCAAGGCCGGCCAGTACAGGAAGGGCTACCCTGAGAAACCCTGTCTCAAAAAAATCAAAAGGATGATAGACAGATAGATAGATAGATAGATAGATAGATAGATAGATAGATAGATAGAGATAGAATTGAGGATGCTTAAAAAGAACCATCTATGCAAAATAATAGCCTTTTTGTTGTTGTTGTTGTTGAGACGGGGTTTATTCATGTAGCCCTGGCTGTCCTGGAACTCTGTAGACCAGGCTGGCCTTGATTCGCCTGACTTCTTCCATCTACCTTTGTCTCCAAGTGCTGGGATTAAAGGCAGGGGCACGACTGTCTGGCTCATAATTTTTTTTGAAGGACAAAGAATAGGTTTTAATGGAAGGATGGATTTGATCAAAGCACATCATATGCATGAATGAGGTTCATCAAACAATAAAGAGGAAGTCTTAGAGGAATTTAAAAAAGTTGAAAGTTGTTGCATCGATGTGCATGGCATTGAAAAGAATATTTTATTTTTCTTTCCCGGTACTGGGCACTGAACTTCGTGCCTCTACTGAGCTGCATACCTGCCCCTTTCTTTTTGAAATACTTTTTTGAGATTGGAACTTATTAGCTCACCAGATTGGTCCTCAACTTGTGAACCTCCCGCCTTAGCCTCAGAAAGGTAGGGCCTGTACACTTGCTCCATCAGAACAATCAGTTTTTTTTCTGTCTTGAAGTATTTATGACTGCCTACTTAGCCGTGCTAGGAACTGCCAGATTGTTTTACTAAACTGTGATTGTCCTTAGTTATTTCTTACACTAGAGCCTGTGTTTCTTTTTAAATTTTTAGTTATGAGACTGTCTCTCGTAGCTGAGGTTGGCCTTAACTCCTGATGTCTCCACCTTTAGAACATTGGGATTCAGGCATGCACCACCATGCCTAGGCCACGCGTATACTATCTTCGGCACCTATCAGTGAACTTCTCGAGACCTTAAATCCAGTGCTTAAGTTCTGCTTGTTGACTCGACTTACTTGCGTTATGTAAGCCCGATATGGCTTCTGATAAAATGTCAGACTGGTGGTGTAACAGTAGCCGGGATTGCTGTTAAGGCAAACGCGAGATTCTGCAAAGCTCTTAGGAATATAATCACTTGGCGTCGTTTTATTGTTGGCATCCGTCAATGAGAAGGCTGAGAGGGGAATGAATGGATGAATGAAAGAACAGGCAAGTTACTGGCGTCTCCTGAGGCTGGCAACGGGCTACACGATCCCTCAAGACACAGTGCAGAACCCCCACTTTCTGGACATCCAGCTGCAGGCCGGAAGCCGGAAGCCAGGGCAGAGATACGGCCGGGACGCTGCAGGAAGACGCGCTAATGAGCGCCTTGCTCTGAAAATGGGTCTCTTGTTGCGCCTATCGTCAGCCGGCTGGAACCGAGGCGAACTATCGCGAGGTTTCTTTCCGCAGGCCCCTTCTCCCCCGCACCCTACTCACGTTAGTCCGGCCCGCCCCGCCGCAGGCTCCGCCCCCGCAGCCCCGCCCTCCCTCTATTTCAGGGCTGCCTTCCAGCTCAGCCTGGGCCACGGAGTGCTGGTCAGCGGGCGCCGAGGTGAGTGCCCCATCTCCGGGCTCACAGGTCGAGGCTACCGGCGCGGCTCCGCCGGGGACCTTTCATCCCCGCCGCCACAGAAGCGCCCGGGCCTCTGCGAGAGGGACTGCGTGCTGTCCGGCCTAGGGTCCCCACGGCTGCCGTGTCCTCCACGGCCCCTGGTATCCCCGTATCATCTTCCCTGCCCCTGGGCTCCCAAATTCTTCCGACCTTAGAATCCAACTAATTCAGGCCAAACCAAGACATCTGGTAGCTTTTCTCATGGAGAAAACAGCCTTTTACACAAATGCTTCTACAGTTTGTAAGTCTCTAATCTCTAGTGTTAGGAAGTCGGATTGTGTATTCTGTCAACTCAAGTACTGGAGTGTCAGGCAGGGACTACTCTTTAAAATGCTTGTGCTTAAAATGGGGACGTTCTTAAGTTGGGGGATTGTTCTGTTTCTGCTGAGAAGATTGAGTGGTATTGGACTTCAGAAAACTTTAGGTGCAGCTTATATAGTTAATACGATCTACATTATTTACATTAACTGTGGGCAGGAGGCGATTAAGTTGTGAAAGGGGAAGGAAAACTAGCCTTTGAAAGGCTGTATTGCCAATGAGTGCATATTGGGAAAACCAAGAGTATTGTTGATTTTGGAAGGTTTTGGATTTCATCTGTATACACCTTATTTCCCAATCTATAGCAAGATGCATTTCAGCAGAGCTTAATAGATGCTTTTGAGACAACCAGTAACAGGTGGAGCGTGCAGAAAAAGCCATTTGGTTACAGTGAGTGGAGATTTTGAGTATAGTTTTTACTTTGCAAAAGGAAAACCTTCCATTTGTGCAGTCTTTGGCTACCCCATAATGATGACACATCGCTTACATTTTACATTTGTAAAAAGCTGTGTTACAGGTAAAGTGGTACCCAGACTTTGGACTTAGAACCCCCTGCATTCCAGTGGTGGCAAAATGCCTCGTCTGTAAAGCCGATTAATTAATGCCTGCTGTACTGCTTGGCTGTAAGGATAAAGATCTTTAAGGCAGATTGTTAGTATTTATATAAAAATGCCATGCACACAGCCAGTTTTAAATCTAGTGAGGTTTATTGGTTGGAGATGGAGAGACAGACAGACATGGTGGGGGGAGGGGTGTCCCAACAGAGAGAGGGAAGGGGGGCGTGGCCAACAGGTCACTATTTACCTGGCCCAGATGATATCATAGGATGCAGGTACTGACCTAGGACGCTGTCAGGACCCTCAGGGTCCCTCAGGAAAGGCCAGTTGAATTGCCTGCACAACATAACACAGGTAGCAAGTTTAATTAGTCTATGAGTGATCTCAATGGGTAGATGAAAAATTGACATTGTAACAGCTGTTCTGATCTCATCCACTTACTAGCTGTCAGAAAGCGAAAAGCATTTTGGATACTGCAGTATTGTGCAGACATGCAGATATGAAGAAAGCAGCAATATCTCTCTGGCCTTAGGATTTACAAACTCTTATCCAAAGTGGCAGTAAACAGGTTTGTGCATATATACATAATACACACACACACCAAATTGTAAAAACTGAACTGGCTTGTTCTGAAAGAAAACCAAGGAAATAATTAGTTTGGGATAGGGAAGTGAGTTTTATGTTGAAATCTTCTAGGGGAAAGAGGCTGTTTCCAGGCTAAGAGGAAAACAGCAAGTGCTTGGAGGAGTTTGGTAGATCCCAGGATTAAGAGAGGTCAGGAACTTGGTGAATGTGGCAGAGGAGGCTGGACAGGCAGGTTGGGCCCGATGGTCAAGAGCTCAGGAAGACTTTGCTTTTCTCAATAAGGAGTTGCTAAAGGGTTTGTTTAGTAACATGAGCCTGAGAGGGAGAGATGCAATTATGAGTACATTGTCAGAGGCTCATTGCTGTGATTGATATGTTGGAAGTGATGAAAGTGGACACATGAGGCCCAGGGATGGCAGATGGAGAGATGGGTGTGGCTGGAACTGAGATGTGTTTCAGAAAGAGACGCTCTGGCCTTGTGATTGCTTGAAGAAGCTGTGCTGGAGAGGGTGGCGTTCTGAGCTGAGCTGCTGCGTGGATGGAAAGGTGCCTCCCCTGCATTTGCCGAGACAGGAGAATTTGGAGAGGTGATTGGTGGTCAGAAATGTTGTGAGTCATCTACACCACTCCCAGCTTACTCAGTGAAGAATTACCCAGAAGCATAGATGCTGTCAGGCCTGTAATTCCCTTCACTTTATTTAATGACATAAGATGTCCAGAGATCAGGTGCCTGACAATAAACGAGAAGGAAAACAGATAGAATAAATATGGGAAAGTATTAAATTCCTAGGTTGACCTGGAGCTGTTATTGAATGCTCGTAGACTACACTTTGAAGTAAGATGGCAACTGGTCTTCTGAGCCAAGAAGAGTTTGAAAATGATAAAAAGTAACCCCAAAGTTCTAAACTCTGCTTATCGAAAGCCTTCATGTGATGCTTAATGAATGAGAATTATTTTCTTAAAATGAACAAAACAATGGAAACTTTATCCTTTTCTTTTTCTGTTTCAATAAAGAACTAGAAGGGGTATCTAGGAAAATTGACTTTCTGAGCAAAACTGTTGTGTACTTTCATTTCCTAATGTTCCTAATGTCTTCTGGAATCCTGTGCTTCATTGTAAAGAAACCACACTTTGAAATCCACTGGACCTGGTGTCAGATTTTTGCTTTTAATTTCTTATGAGCCGTTCCACATTTGACAAATTCTGGAAGCCTGAGTTTGTTTCCTCATGTGTTAATAGTGAGACTTGTTCATCCTGTGTCTAGAAGATTTCAAATATAGCCTCCTTTTCTTGTCAGTTTAACTAACATATTAACAATATGTCTACATGAGTTACCTAAGACCCAGAGAGATTTATAATTGGATCACACAGGGTTCTTGTTCCTAGTGGAGTATTTTGGACTAGTGACTTTGGACCACTTCCTTTGCTATTTCTGATAAATCTGCAAAAGTAAAGAAAAAGATACAAAAAATAAAGGAAGTAGAAGGAAAGGAGTTAAGCTTGTTGATATATATAGAAATAATATATGTTTGAGATGAGCTGTCTTATTTCATATTTCAGATGAAAAATTTGACCTGCTGCATTTTTGTTTGTTTGTTTGATTGATTGATTGATTGATTTTTAGGCTTTTTTTTTTTTTGCGACAGGGTTTTTCTGTGTAGCCTAGGCTGTCCTGGACTTGCTTTGTAGACCAGGCTGGCCTTGAACTCACAGTGATCTAACTGCCTCTGCCTCCCTGAGTGCTGGGATTAAAGGCATAGGTGCACTACCACACCCGCCTGTGCTTGATTTTTTAATAACTTTTTTTCAGTCATGCTGTGCATCTTGTCTCTGGGATCTGGGGATGCTGAGCCATTGATAGAGTGCTTTCCCGGCATGCACAGAGCGCTGGGTTTGATGTCAGTACTGCAGAAACAAAGAGGTTGTCATAGAACTGTAATCCCTAGCACTCATAGCTACAGGAGAAACTGTCTTAAAAAACCAAAACCAGAAACTGGTCTCTGTTCTCATAGATAAAGATTCCTACCTTAAGTCCAACAGAGTTTTTCTCCAGTTAGGTCTATTTCTAGTAAGTAGTAAATATTGTTTAATCCGACTACTATTGTTATTTTAATAGCCTAAATATGTGCAAAAAATTAGTTGTCACAGAAGGAGGTTAAAAAGTGTAACATCTTTTTAGTGTTGTGTTCTATCTCTGTAGGCTGACAGATTTATATACAGTTCTTTAAGAAATCGTACAGTGACTAATTTTTTTTTTCCTTTTTATAGAAATGGACCAATTTTGACAAGATGTAGTGCTGCAGCACGCCTGGTCGGACATGTTCAGTCATGGCGTCCGAACTCTGTAAGACGATCTCTGTGGCCAGGCTGGAAAAGCACAAGAATTTGTTCTTAAATTACAGGAATCTGCACCATTTCCCATTGGAGTTACTGAAAGATGAAGGGCTGCAACACCTGGAGAGGCTCTATATGAAAAGGAACTCTCTTACCACCTTGGTATAGTATTATATTACATTAATACCTCCTATAAATGTGGTCCTGACCAAGATAGTATTTTATATGTCCATGCTGCTTTGAGCAAGGGTGATACATGCAGGCCACGGGCCTCTCTGTAGTTATGCACTCATTACCTAAAGTCTGCACTTAGGCTTCCGAAGGGATGTGCAGGAGAGTGAAATAGTCTCTGATACACTACTGAGAAAATTAGTCTTTCTTCAATCAGCAAGCACATCTCATGGCCTGCGCTTTTGCTGTATTTAAAGCAGCCAAGCCCAATTCTGAGTTAAATAAATAAATAAAATTTAAAAAAAGAGAATGATTTGAAGATCCAAATATTAATAGATAGTTGGAAAGTTTAAAGAAGCCTTTGTGAGATAATAAAACAAAGCCTTTGCGATTGCCTTGTTGAAAATCAGTGATCTTGCATTGGGATGTCATACAGTTGGGTCAAGAAAAAAATTTTTACACTGAAGCAACGTTTCACTCTTTATGTTCTAAGAGTAAGCACAAATTCTTCATTTTAACCTATTATATGTAAAAAAAGAAACTTTAAATTTAGGAAGAGAATGTTCTAACCACTGTTTTAGTCCCACTGCTTATTGTAAAATGTGGTCCCCATTTTAAATGAATTTACTTTAATTTTATGGTTATCATTTTACCTGATTTCAATCTCATGCCTAAATTTGTTACTTGTGCTGGCCTGCAGTTTTTTAGTAATTGAACCTTTCTGTATTTTGAACTTTCCTAAAAAGTTTGTCATACTAGTTTTATACATGAGGCATGTGTTCCTGGACAAATTAATCTGAAATAGGTGCAGTGTTCATTCTCCTGAATATGAAGTCTGGGGTCAAGGTGCTGTGTTGAGGGCCAGCTTGCTTCTGTTTACATGGTGCCTTCTTACTGTGTCTTCATATAGTTGGATGTCAAGGGATCTTCCTTGGACCTGTTTTTATAAGGTTACTTATTCCATTCGTGCTGGCTCTGTTTTCATAATCACTTCCCAAAGGCCCAAGATCCTAATACTGGGGGATGAGGACTTCAATGTAAATTTTAGGCTAGATGCAGCATTCAGACATTCCTTGCTTACATTTCTATAACTCTAGTCTATTTCTGTATGTGGTTTTCCTTTCTTAATAATAAAAATAAGTTCTACTCACTTCAAATTCCTCTTTGTTCTTTATAATATCTCTAGGTTAGTTAGATATGTCCCTGTATTTATGTATGTACTTCATTTAGGAAATTCTCAAAAGGATGAATGCTGGGTCAAAAGGTAGATATATTTTATTTTAGAATACTTTGAAGTAGAGTTAGTTCATGATATTGTATTATCTTTATTTGTATACCTAAGAAATTGTCCAACTATTTTTCAATGTAATATGAGCTAATTTATATAGGAACCCAATTATGTAATTAAGGGGTGAATACAAGAATAGTTAGGGATACACACAGAGGTACACTCCTGTAATTTCAGCACTTAGGAGGCTGAGGCAGGAGGGTCATACATAGCAAGACCCTGTTTCAAACCAAACCAATCCAAAACAAGAACTATAAAAAACAAAAGCAGATAGGAAATATCATGATTTTGGGCCCTAAAATTTACTTTAGAAAATGTTTCAAAGAACTTTTCTGTACATGCCATAGTCTCTGGTATTTGAATGCTTGGTTCCCAATTGGTAGCCCTGTTTGGGGGAGGCCTAGGAGGTGTGGCCTTGGGGACTGGGGAGATGTGTCAGTCAGGAAAGTACTTGTTGAGCAAATGTGAGGAGGTGAGTTCCTCCTACCAGCACTGATGGACAAGTATGGGTGACATGTGCCAATCCCAGCACCCTGGGGAGGTAGGAATCCAGGAGCTTGCTAGCCAAGCATCCTAGCTGAATGGATAAGATCCATATTCATTGAGAGATCCTGATTGAGGAAGACATGTGTGCATACATGAGCACCTGTGCACACATGGACATACATACACATATATATCACACACAAAAATGAATATCTCCTGTTAAAGATTATTTAGAGACTATAAGAAGATATTGTAATTCACTAGTGGAGTAGAAATTAAGTTCACATTTCTTTTGGTGGTTTAGACCCTGTCTAGTAAAGTTGTATACCGATAAGGAAGAAAAGCCAGAAACAAGGATATTCCTCATATGCTAACATGGTTATGTGATGAATACTTGTTTTCACAAATGTCCATTATTATGTTGGTTAAAACCTAATAGCAGCTAATTTTTTTTGAATCTTTACCAAGGCATTTGCTTGACAACAAAAGCTAGACATTGTTCTAAGCAATTTGTAAGTGTTATTTAATCCTGAAAACAATGCTTTGATGCAGGCACTTTCATTATCCCACATTTATAGATGAATAAGGCATTGATAAAAGACTAGTGATGATAGTTGTAGATGACTGGAGAGGGTGAGGGAGCAGGTGGCAGCTGAGGATCTTTAAGTATTAATTGTAAATAAAAAAAGGCATGTACTTTTATATCTGGTTATTTTCTTTTTAAATAGATACTTTAAAAGTAATTAAAGATGATTGGCATATAGATTCTAAATATTTTGATTTATTATGATGGCAACTATGTTTATGTTGTTGACATAAATGGCTTCTTTGTAGACCAAGTTAAGGTGAGAAAAGTCGATGGCTAGGAAAGTCACACACTTAATTCTCCTTGTCCCTCACAGGAGACAATGTTCCTTATGCTTAGAACCAGTAGCAGTTTTATATTTTAGGATTTTTCTTCACATTACTTACTTGTGTCTACATAGTTAAGTTTTGGGGATAAGACTCAAATCTAGTCACATTTGTGTTTCATACATCCCTTCAGCACATAGCCTGAAGTTTATTGTATACTCTATAGAGAGAGCACCTGAGTTTTGATTGCATCTTATCTTAGAGGGCAGGTGTGAGTTTTCTACCTGTGGCTTTTTAGAGTAGATGTTCTACTTAAAGTAGAAGCTGTATCAATACTGGAGCAGCTTGAAGGAAAACAGGAAGTGAAGGTGGTATAAAAGAGCACTGGTCAAAGGTGGGTCACAAGACTACAACTACATGGTGGTGTCAGGTCATAGCATCCATGTTACCAGTTAGTTTATTTTTAATATAAAAAAATGTTTTTGAGACAGGGCTTCTTTGCATAGCACTGACTGTCCTAGAACTCTCACTGTAGACCAGGACGTCCTTGAACTCAGAGATTCACCTGCCTCTGCCTCCTGAGTGCTGGGATTAATGGTGTGTACCACCACTACCAACCTTTGTTAATTTTTAATTTTAAGTGTTTTAAGAATGTAAATATGTGTACGTTGTATTGACATAATTTATTTCCACCCTCCCCTGTAGGTATAACGTTATTGTGTAGTTCAAATGCTAATTTCTGTAACCCCCATATCTGGTTGCAATCCTTGTTCTGAGACCTCCCTGCCTCAGTGATAAATAAAACTGTTCCCCAGTTTTCCACTCATATGCCAATAAAGTAGCTTACAGCCAATTGCTGAGCAGGGGAGATAATAGGGCTGGACTTCCTGCCAGCCAGTGGAGGAGGACTCAGAAGAGGAAGTAGAGATTCAGCCATGGGAGAGGTGGAAGTGAGATCAAAGAGCTGGAGCAAAAAAGCTAAGAAGTGCAAGTATCTTTGGGATGTATGTTGGGAGGAAGCCAAATTAGCTTAGAAGGTTAAGAATAGATTAATAACTGCTCACTTATTATGCTGTGAAGCTTATTAAAATACTATAATAGAGTCTCAATTATTTGTGTGATAGCTGGGTTAAGAAAGAAAATAAGAGAAACAAACACAGTTTTATAAAATAAACATTTTGGCGCCCAATGTGGGTCCAAACTCACATAGAAAGTAAACTACAGAACAGTTTCTTCTGTTCATTAAGAGAACAACCACAGTTTTTAAGGCAGGAGCTCACAGCTTCCTGATCAAACAGACGCCCCAGTATAACAAAGGCCTCCAGGCAGCTTAAAAAAAAAAAAAAACCAAAACCTAAAACAAATTGCAAAGGGGCTGTTCTTTTAGCCCTCCCTAAGGGAGGGGGGGGAGAAAATTGTTCTTTAATACAAACAAACTCTCAAAACATACTTTTCTAGCCAAGGCAGGAAGCTAAATACTTTGGAGAAGGGTCTCTTGCTGGCCTGACTCATGCAGGCCACAAGAGCAAACACTTATGGATCAAATAACTTCTCAGAATTGGGGAGGGCTCAGGATACAGTGAGGGAGGCAGAAAAGAAAAGCTTCTCCCTGAAAGCAGGAGACAGAGACAGACAGAACAGCCTCAGGCAACTGAACTGATAAGGGATCATGTCTAGTTTGACTATAAGAAAGTAATGTCCTTAGGGAGACGTTTTGAGCTTAAAGAAGATGATTATTTTCTATTTTGAAAAAAAAAATCAATGACATGGTGCTTCTGTATTCTATTTGAGTTTGTTTCTCTTAAGCATACAAATTTTTTCAGTGACAATTTCAGTTTTGTATATCCTCTTTGGGAGAGATCAAAATAAAACAGACTTAGAAAAAGGAGAGACTGAAAAAATAGATGCTAAATTAAAGGCCATAGAATAGAGCATGGAGGAAACTTTGAATCAAAATAGGAAACTTTCAGAGAAATCCAATCAGGAGCTTATATTAACACCAAAAGAGATATTTCCAAATGAAAACAAAACAAAACAAAACAAAAAGGCTTGAAGAAATTATAGAATAACAGCCCACTGACATATGGGATAGAAAGGCTTCAGCAATAGGCCAGCATGGTCAAACTGGATATTGTATGTGTATTGTCAAGGTTCAGTTACTGGTTGAAGGTTTATATGCTAAAAGAAAAGTACAGATCCTGTTTGGTGTTGTCTTGAAACGAGGTCATACAATGGCTTATGTGTTCCATTTTACAGATTAGGGAGATGAAATATATGTACCATGCCATAGGTTCATATTCAGAGTTCCAATGGGTTTTTGCCTTAAATTCTGGATAGCATAATTCTAAGGTTATACATTTGTTAG